GAGTGTTGGATGTTGTTAATGAGAATATTTTAGTGTAGTTTGAGTGTTGTTAATGGGAATATTTTCAGGTAGTTTGGGTGTTAATGAGAATATTTTGAGGTAGTTGGGGTGTTGTTAACGGGAATATTTTAAGACAATTTGGGTGCTGTTAATAAGAATATTTTAGGGCAGTTTGGGTGTTGTTAATGGCAATATTTTAAGATAGTTTGGATGCTGTTAATGAAAATAATTTAGTGTAGTTTGAGTGTTGTTAATGGCAATATTTTAGGGTAGTTTGAGTGTTGAGTGTTGTTAATGAAAATGAAAATATTTAGGGTAGTTTGGGTGCTGTTAATGGGAATATTTTAGTGTAGTTGGGGTGTTGTTAGTGACAATATTTTAGGGTAGTTTGGATGCTGTTAATAGGAATATTTTAGGGTAGTTTGGGTGTTGTTCATGGGAATATTTTAAGGTTCCCTGCATGTCGTTCCATGCCTGGAAGCATCTCAGCTCTGTGGTGGGGGAGGGAGTTTTGCAGGAGGTCACTGGACGCTCCTTGAGGGTGCTTTGTCCCTCCCCACACCCCTCCTGTGACTCCAGGTGGTCCCAAAGCAGCAGCCCCCGCGTCGGCCCCTCCCTGGGAGTCCTCTCCTGGCCAAGGAGCTGCCTCCTGCCCACGGACAGACCCTGCTGGTCATGGTCCCTCCTACCAACTTCCAGCCGGCGGGGACGAGCGCCACGAGCCACCCCATGAGGCCCCTGAAGTGAGTGGAGTGTCCCCCCCACCACGGGTGGGGGGTCCTGCGGGTTGGGGTTAGTTCAGGGGGGTCACACTCGGGTGGGACATTCCCTGCTCTGCAGGACCTCGCAGGGTCTGGCCAAAATTGGCCAACAGCGACCGAGGTTTGGGGTTTTGAGGTGCTGGGTTAAGGGAGGGGCCATATTTTGGGGGGGAGGTGGTTTCCCATCCCGGGTGTGGAGGGAGCTGTTGGGATTCAGTGAAGGGATGGACACTGATGTGATGGGATGGCCACTGATGTGAAGGGATGGACACTGATGTTCTCTCTCCTCTTCCCTCCCTGCAGACCGATGCCACCTCAAAGGTGAGTGAGGGACATCCCACGGACCCCTGGCGCTGCTTGTGGGGGGTGGCCTTTGGTTCAGCCTTAGACTGGGAACCAGGAGACCTGGGATTAAATTTCCACCTTCCCAGAAGCTCCTGGATGAGCAGGACATAGTCCCTCTGGGTACCCCACCAACAGCAGGGCTTGGGCACCTGTGTCCAAAGGAATGGAGGACGTGGGTTTTCCAGTCCGAGTGTTTTCCAATATCACTGCTACTTCCAGCTTTTTCTGTGCTACCCAATCCTCTGGATAGGGGTCAGTGGAGCCCCAAGGAATTGTGTTTGCATCCATTCCTGCTGCTTGGGCTCGTGGGCTGTATCCATCCGTGTATCCATCCATCCACTGTGCTGGAATGAAGTTGTCCCTCATCCCCGGCCAGCCTTCTGTGTTAGTCACTGCTCTGACCCTCTGACACTATTTTGAGTTCTCACTTTGTAGTTGCCACCACGAAGAGTTGACTGTGCCCCAAAATGTCTCAGTGGAACTCAATCCCTGGAGCTCAGCTCTCTGAGGAGATGAAACAGGGCTGGTCTGTGGTTCCTAAAGGGAAGGGTTTGGCACATCCTGGCAGCCAAAATCATCTCCCTCCCCCAGACTGTGGGGTTTTGTCTGTGCTGCCCACTGAGAACAATCCTGGAGAGGGACTTAGGACAAGGGATGGAGGGACAGGACAAGAGGGAATGGCTTCCCACTGCCAGAGGGCAGGGATAGACGGGATACTGGGAAGGAATTGTTGGCTGTGAGGGTGGGGAGGCCCTGTCCCAGGTTGGGCAAAGAAGCTGTGGCCGCCCCTGGATCCCTGGAAGTGTCCAAGGCCAGGTTGGAGCAACCTGGTCTGGTGGAAGGTGTCCTTGCCCATGGCAGGGCAAGATGCTCTTTAAGGTCCCTTCCAGCTCAACCATTCCGTGATTCCATGAGTCATGAATCCCCAGGATGGGAACAGGCTCCATATGGGGTTGGTTGAGTTGGTGATGTCTCTTGGTTGCACACAAACCACCTTGGCTGTTTGTAGGTGTCCCTGGGCAACATCATTCCCACTGCTGGTCACTGCCCGGTGTCACCACATGTCCTGTCAGGGTTCTCGGGGTCCACCAAGGGAAAAACCACCTCAAACCAGTGCAATCTGTGGTTTAATCTTTGCAAGGGGACATGGGTGACCACAACTGTGCCAGTGCCAGGTGCCCTCTGGTCTCAGGGACAGCAGCTGCTCTGTCTGCCCTGAGCTGTGGGAGGTTGGTTGTGGTGGAGGTGGTTGATGTTTGCACTCAAAGAGTTTTCTCCTTCTTCTTCTCCTCACTCCAGGCCAGTCCCAGCCATCAAAGTCCAATCAACCTCCTTCCCCTCCAAGAAGTGACAATCCAAGGCCACCTGAAGCCCGTCCTTCCTGAGCTGGCTCTCCTGATTTGCACTGCTCTGCCCACGGGGGTCCTTCATTCCCCTCCTTTTATTTGTCTTTTGATACCAGAGGACTATTTTTATAAGACAGAATTTGTATTCAGCACAAAAACTGGGGGGGGTGGGGGTGGGGAGGAGAGGGGAAACTGGTACTATGACTTCACTGAAGGTTGGAGGTGGGGTTTCCACGGTGGACATTCCATCCTGGCATTGCTTCCTGGCCAATTTGCCTCCCAGCTTTGGTTTCTCCCTGACGTTGCACATGGGCTGGGCTGGGGCGACCTGGGGGGCACGAGGACATCCAACACTGATGGAAGATGCTGGTGACAGTGTAATGTCCTTCTAGCTACCTCCTCCTTCTCCTCCAGGCCTGGTGAGACCCCCCCCCTCCACCACCACCCACTGCCACCAGAGCTCCATGCCGGGGCGTCCTCTCCAGGGAGGCATTTGCCACGAGAGAAACACGATTTCCAGCTTGGATTGGGACATTTCCACAAAGGATCCAAGTTCTCGGGCTCCTCCTGCCCCTCCTGTCCGATTGCACGAGGTGACAACCCTGGGGTCACCTGGAAGGAGCAGCCTCCTGGGAAGTGTTTCAATGCCTCAAGTGCTGGTGGCACCAGCGGGTCACCAGGGTGCTTTCAGGGGGCTCAGGAGCCCCCCCACAAACGTTGCCTGTTCCCTGCTCGTGGGCCAAGCCCAGCAGTGGCTCCTGGAGCTGCTGATACTCTGCTGTCCCAACGGGATGAGGAGCAGGAAAACCTCCTGCCCGTGTCATTGGCTTGTCCAGAGGCCTCGGCCGAGCCGCTGCATTTCTCTGTGCCTCAGTTCCCCCCGTGTGGAAAGGGGGGGGTGATAACCTACCTCACAGGGGTGTTGTGAGGTTGAACAAACTCATGTCTTGAAAGGGCTTTACAATCCTCAGATCAAAGGTGCTGTTGACCTTGCACAGTTTTGTGCCACTTTTCCTGTGACTTGACACGCGGCTCTATCAGGGTCTGAAACGAGAACAAAGACTTTCTACAGTCCCCTGGCTCCTCTGGCTCTTTTCTTGCTCTGAAGTTCCCTGAACCTTTTAGACACCAAGATCTCCAGGTCTTCCATGACCTGCAAACAGATCCCAGGACTCCCTTAAACCTGGGACGGTTCAGTCCATCCGTGTGTCCCATGTCAACGACACTGGGATAGATCCCACCTGACCTGGGACAGATCTCTTGGAGATGTGTCCAGCCATGGGGTAGGTTCAGGGACAACCCTCAGGAAGCTGTTCTGGTGTTTCATTATCCCCAGGTTGGGCTTAAAGGCCACCTTAACCCGAGCTGTCCTTACTCTCACGATCAGGCTTTGCTTTGAAGCCTTTGGTCTCCCTGAAGCATCTTCAGGAAGAATTTCTTCATGGAAAGGGTTGTTAAACGTTGGAATGGGCTGCCCAGGGAGGTGGTGGAATCCCCTTTTCCTCAGGCAGAGAGAGCAGCAGTGCTGGGAACAGCCCTCCCGGTCCCACCCAGTCCCACCCAGCTCCCTGTTTGGAGCAGGGACATGAGAGGATGGGAATTTGGGGGTGATGCCCGACGGTCTCTTTGCTGGCTTTGTGGAACCCGAGGTGGTCCCAGGGTGTGCAGGTGGGTGGTGTCCACCCCGATGCAGCCACAAATACAAGATGTGGCCCGTGGTTCCACGGGACAGGCAGGATTTGAAGCCCGGTAAGAGAAATCCATGGATCCGGGGAGGGGTTTTGGGCGTCCAGGTGGCACTAGATGGCAGCAGACGACCACGAATCCTCTGCTCAGCCTCTGCTTGGAATTGCTGGGATTTCCAGGGAGCGGGTCCTCAAGTGTAGCTCTTCTGTTGGTCTTTCTCCTCTGGCCCATCATCTATAAATCCATTTAAAGCATCAGCTGGATATAAAAGCTGCTGAGTGTTCCTGGGGGGCTCCTTGAGCTTCCAAGTGGTTTCCCAGTGAACCTTTCCTTGTCATAAAAGGGAATGTGTGAAAGGCTAAGGGAGCTGGGGGGGTTTCCCTGGAGAAGAGAAGGCTCCAGGGAGAGCTGAGAGCCCCTGGCAGGGCCTAAAGGGGCTCCAGGAGAGCTGGAGAGGGACTGGGGACAAGGCATGGAGGGACAGGACAAGGGGAATGGCTTCCCAGTGCCAGAGGGCAGAGTTAGATGGGATATTGGGAAGGAATTGTTGGCTATGAGGGTGGGGAGGCCCTGGCTTAGGTTGCCCAGAGAAGCTGTGGCTGCCCCTGGATCCCTGGAAGTGTCCAAGGCCAGACTGGAGCAACCTGGGCTAATGGAAGGTGCCCCTTCCCATGGCAGGGGGTGGAACTGGATGGTCTTTAGGGGTCCCTTCATCCCAAAGCATTCCATGATTCCATGACTCTGTGACTGCCCCTCCTTGGCCATCTCAGGGGTCACTGTCACCCACCACACCTGGGATGGAGCTGGGAAGATCTCCCCACCCTTGGGCAGGTTGTTGCCTCTGTCTCCATGCCTTGGTTCCCCTCTCCATGCCTTGGTTCCCCTCTCCATGCCTTGGTTCCCCTCAGCCTGTCCAGTGGAGTCCCCAGTCCTTTCTCTGTCCCCCCCTGTGCCCTGTCCTGACCCACAGCAGCTCCTGTCCTGACCCACAGCAGCTCCCTGGGCTTCTGACACACTTGGGCTCCTCAGGGTTTTCCTCTTGGGACATGGAAGAAGGGCCAAGTGAAGAAGGGAATGTGGTGAGTCCCCAGTGGCTTCCATGAGCTTCAGAAATGCAGAGGAATTTTCTGGAGCACACTGGGGAGGTCACCCTGGGAGGGGAGCCTGAGTTTTGAGGTGCAGCAGCTTTGCTGGGGTTGTCCTGGCCCCAGACAGGCTCTGTCCCCTGGGATGCAGGACGAGGGGACATTTCTAGACCAAAATGTAAAACCACCTCATAGAATCCTGGAATCTCCTGAGCTGGATCTACAAGGATTGAGTCCAACTCACAGGACACCTCAACAATCCCACCCTGTCCCTCAGAGCGTTGTCCAAACACTGCTTGGACAATTCCTTTCATTTTTTTTTCTCATCCTTTTTAAAATTTATTTGATCTTTTTATTTTCCTCGTTTCTGCTGCATCCTGGAATGGGAGGGATGAGGGGGATGAACACCTGGAATGGCACCAGACAGGCAGGTAACACATCCATGGGCACAGAAATGCTGGCAGACAGATCCATGCACAGAGCCAAGGGAAAAAAAAAATCCTGGAAAAAAAGGGACAAAAAAGCAACGAAGCAATTAACAAAGAGGCTCCTGCAGCTGAGGAAGTCAAACAATTTATCATCTTCCAGCTCCTGCTCTTTCCTTTCGCTGTTTTTTTTCTTTGGCAGATGTGGATCCCTCTCTCCAGCCAGCCCTCCCTCCCACCCAGGGCCGAGAGATCCCTTCTTGGACTCGAGAAGGGGCCTGTTAAAAACGAAAATACAAAGCACAGCTTGACTTTAGTTCTCTGCATCCACTTCTACCCATCCAGAGCGAGGGGGAAAAACACATCAGTGATATTAAGCACACCCACACGACGAAGACTGAGGTCCTGGGGAGGCTGTTGCTGAAGTGTTGCCTGGAGCTGATGCCTTATCTCTCTAATTTTCAAGTGTTTCTCTGAGCTGTGAGTGTCTTTCAAGTCTCAGTGCTGTGAAGTTCAAAGTGAGAGTGGGGAAGCAGCACTTCTGTGCCAGCTCTGCCTCCACGACCTTCTCTTCTGGTTCAAATCCTCGCTCGGAGAAGGAAAGGAAGGAATTGGTGAGCTTGGACAACGTTTGGAGCCAGGGCTTCCTGAGGATGTGGAGTCTTAGGGGAAAGGAGCAGCTTCTGGAGTCCACAGGGGTTTGGAGAGCAAAGGTGAGTGAAGGCAGGGATGTGCCTGGAGAGCAGAGGGTTCCCTGGAGAGCAGAGAGATCCCTGGAGAGCAGAGGGATCCCTGGAGAGCAAAGAGATCCCCAGAGAACAGAGAGATCCTTGGAGAAAAGAGGGGTCCCTGAAGAGCAGAGATCCCTGGAAAGCAAAGAGATCCCTGGAGATCAGAGAGATCCCTGGAAAGCGAAGAGATCCCTGGAGATCAGAGAGATCCCTGGAGAGCAAAGAGGTCCCTGGAGAGCAGAGATCCCTGGAGACAAGAGATCCCTGGAGAGCAGAGGGGTTCCTGCAGAGCACAGACATTCCCTGAAGAGCAGAGGAGTCCCTGGAGAGCAGAGAGATCCCTGGAGAGCAAAGAGATCCCCAGAGAAGAGAGAGATCCTTGGAGAAAAGAGGGGTCCCTGAAGAGCAGAGGAGTCCCTGGAGAGCAGAGAGATCCCTGGAGAGCAAAGAGATCCCCAGAGAAGAGAGAGATCCTTGGAGAAAAGAGGGGTCCCTGAAGAGCAGAGATCCCTGAAAAGCAAAGAGATCCCTGGAGATCAGAGAGATCCCTGGAGAGCAAAGAGGTCCCTGGAGAGCAGAGATCCCTGGAGACAAGAGATCCCTGGAGAGCAGAGGGGTTCCTGCAGAGCACAGACATTCCCAGAGAGCAGAGGAGTCCCTGGAGAGCAGAGAGATCCCTGGAGACAAGAGGTCCCTGGAGAGTAGAGATCCCTGGAGAGCAAAGAGATCTCCAGAGAGCAGAGAGATCCTTGGAGAGCAGAGGGGTTCATGGACAGCACAGAAATCCCTGGAGAGCAGAGATCCCTGGAGAGTAGAGAGGTCTCTGAAGAGCACAAAGATCCCTGGCAAGCAAAGAGATCCCTGGAGAGCAGAGAAGTCCCTGGAGAGCAGAGGGGTCCCTGGAGAGCAAAGAAATCCCTGGAGAGCAGAGAGATCCCTGGAGAGCAGCAGAGCACCTGCAACATGCCTGGTTTGGATCCAGACACTCAGCTGAGATCACAGAATCATGGAATGGTTTGGGTTGGAAAGGACCTTAAAGGACCATCTCAACCCATCCCCCTGCCATGGACAGGGATACCTTCCACTAGCCCAGGCTACTCCAACCTGGCCTTGGACACTTCCAGGGGTGGAGCAGCCCCAGCTTCTGTAGGCAACCTGTGCCAGGGCCTCCCCACCCTCATCATAAAACCTTCTTCTCCCTATCTGACCTAAATCAACGCTCTTTTAGTTCAAACCCATCTCCTTGTCCCCCAGCAACAGGTCCTGCTAAAAAATTTGTCCCCATTTCTGAACTTGACAGAGATTTGGGGATAATTTTCCAGCAAGGTGTGAATTTACCCTTTTGGATTCCCAGCAAGACACGGAGAGAGGGGCAGAAAGCACAAGGGGAAGGGCGAGGCTGGAGTTACAGCTGCAGGACAGGACCTATCCCAAGGGGAATGAGGGTCTCCAGAGCCTGAGATTTGCTCTCGTGGGGGTCTCATCAAGGCTTGTGCTGTGCAGGGATTGTCCAGCCCCAAATCCCTGTGCCAGGGTGGAGCAAATCCCTCAGGACAAACCCAGGGAACATGTGACAGGAATTACCTGCTCCCCACTGGACCTGAGGTGACCAAAGCCCAGTGTCCACCACTCCTGCTTTTGTTACTGAATCCAAAATGATGAAATGGATGAACAGCCTGATTTTCTCCCGGTGGGGTTTGGTTTTTTTTCTGTCTCTTTTTCCTCCTGCTTCATTTGGTTGGGTTTTCTCCCCCTGCTTGCCCTTTCCAGCAAGAAAAGCTGTGGCTGTAGGACAAAGCTTAGTCATTCTTTGAGTTTCAAATGATTCCTGGCAGGATTTTTTCGCAGCCCACGGAGCCTTTCCCGGGAGGGTTTTGCACGTGTGTGAAGCTTTTGTGTTGCAAACATCTCAGGACTGAGTCAAGGCATCTCCAGGGCTCTGTTTCCAGGCACTTTATTATCATCACTCGTGCAGTTTGGTCTTTGCTTGTTTTCATTTTTATACCAGGAGTGAAAACAGCTCAGTTCCCTTTGATGTTCCCTTGGATGGAGCTCCTTTTTCAGGTTTTATTTGGTTGTGGTTTTTTCTTTTCTTTTTTTTTTTTCCCCCCTCCCCTCCCTTTTAGAGCAGAAGCAAAAGAAAATCA